CTGTACTTGATCTTTTACCTAGAGTTTAGCAGAAAAGGGATAAAAGAGGCAGAAACAGAAAATCCTCAGCCAAGAAACAGATATTTAAAGGCTGCTATGAAAATGATTACTAAAAAAAACTTTGTGAATAATAACACTAGCGTAAAAATGTATTACAATGTGATAACAGGTAAAAACATAACATTTAAAACAACAAATAAGTGAGAAGATATTAAATATTCACTTATCAATCAGCATTTTATTTGATCAGCTATGTAAGGTCATATTTTTCTACAAGAAAACAAATTGTTTTCTTTTAATTTACCATATCCAAGGCACCCACTATTTTCTGTCTTTTTCAAATAACCTGAAAATGGTTATTGGTTGGTGAAACTTATAAAGGTTTGGCATCTTAATAAAATATCTTGCAGCTTCTGTCCATCTGATGCATACCTTGTTTTATGTGTGATTTGTAGCAATATAAATAAAGCAATCCTATTACATTTGAAGCATCTTAAAGCTTAGCTTTATATTCTGTCTGGACCTGCAGATGTTGCTGATAGATTGAGCTAATGGTTGGAAACCACTTAGCAAATGTGAGATGTAGCTTTCCGTTTCAGCTGCCATTTTGCAATGCTGGAATATTGCTCTTCTGCATGCTACGTCATAGGAATCTCATTATAAGCTCCGGGAGCCCACTCCTTAATTTTGCACAGAGCTTTATGAATGCAGATACAACCACAAATCAACACAAAAAAGGATGGCAGACACAAAGCAAATAGTAGAAAATCTTTTGAGCACAACCACATTGTTTATGGTTTATGGATGCACAGTGCCTCCAAGTGGTCTGAACAAGCCACTGCAGACTGTATGGAGGGTGACGTGTGTCAAACCCATTGTCCCTCTCATAAGAAACAAAGTTAGGAACAATTTAGAAATATGGAAGAGTCATTCAGCCAAGCCTTTAACCTGTTCCTATACTTTCCAGCATCATATTCAGACCAAGAAGGATGAAGCAATGATCCACTCTATAATACATTTTATATGCCTTGACCTAAAATTACTTATGAAACCATAACAGTAGGATAAATCTTCAAAAACTTAGTCCAATTTGTGTCGCAAACAACGGTTTGTTACAAATTTATACATGCTGCTTTCTTTAGTTCATTGCAGCCAACTATTTACTCAGTGAACAAGGGAATGATGAGGGGTGAGATTCAAACAGATGGAGAGGAAATGGCAAAAAGGGTGGGGATAAGAGGAGCTCAGTGCATCCAATTACAGTAAGTGGATTCATTTCCTCTAATCAAATAGCTTGGTTAAATATCTCAAAGGCAGATTCCCCATAGAGCCAATCTTCACACATCAGCAATCAGCCACTACATCTGCTCCTTTTCTGCTTTTGCCCTTTTCCTTTTTTCTACTTGTTTTTCACCTCTAAGATTCCTCTCACTCATCAGACCTTCAACAGCCCTACAGCAAGGACCGAATCATTCTACGGCTTTCTTCTTTAAACAGGGAAGAAGGTTATCAAAACCACATGAATGCATTAAGTGAGTTCTCCACTCGTTTTTTTTTTACATGTTAGATTACATGGCCCACCAAAGGGTTGAAATGAACATTACCCCTGATGAAGGATCAACCTGTTGTCAGTTCAACATTATATTGAACTTCTGATTGTTACAAATACCTTGAAAGTAGATGTTTAAATACAACATGTACTGATACAAAAATGTATTTTAATCTTGTATTCTGACATCAAACATAATGAAATTTTTTTTTTTTTTGTGGGGGGGTCAGTTAGGATTATTAAAATTATTTATTTTTGCTAGATACAAGAATAATCCAAGGGAATATTTGTACAGATTTTTGCATTCTTCAAAACCAACATTTACATATGCAAATATGGTAGGAGATTGAGAGCTTTAAAAAAACATCATCCCAAATATGAAGTACAGAGGTGGCAGCATTTTATTTATTCATTTTTTCATCGCTCATGCTTTTCATTTTCAGCATTTCAGAAAAATGATTGAAAAATATTGAAATTACTTTGTCCTGACATCATCCATAAAGTTTAGGGCAAATAGGGCAAAGACCTTAAGAATGCAAACAAATTAGTCTGGAATTGGTTTGATGACAACTAAGGCAATGTTTTGATGAGTCAATCACAAAGCCCTTATCTGAGGTCTGTCAAAATTGTGACCAGACCAAACAGGAATTGTGCAAAAATGATTTAGCCAATAGAAATAATCAAACTCTTTTTTTGGTGACCTAAAAGTTAAAAACATTAGAAAGATGTGGCAAAAAGAGAATGAGAAAAAAAAATAAAATTTTTCTTTGTTATATAGAGTATGTAAATAGTCAGATTCTAATTTATATCTCTTGTATCCAGCACCACACCTCGTTTTTAATTCAAGATACAAACAAATCTGAACAAAATTGTGATGATACGGGGCTTTTCCAAAACTGCAGTCCTGTAATCAGTGTAATGCACTTTTTATTGACTAGTTAGAAACCTCTACAAGAGCGCACTACTGCCTTAACAGTGACATTATGTAAACATTTGTGCTAAATTGTTATTCAAAGTGGTTAGATTAGTTTAGAAATACTTCAAGACGGCAGCAACCAGTTGTTTTCTTAGACACTGTCTTCATTATACTTTAAATGTAAACAAGTTCTTTATTTTACCCCAAGCTATGAGCACGCTGAAAACAGAACAAGCACATTAGCCACAAACACACATCTTATGGCATAGTGTGTAATTGCTTAATCGAAAAACGCATGGCAAAGGCACATGTCCGTTCATTAACAAGAAAAGTGAGGAAATACAGAGAGAGCACAAAAATATACTACAAACATATAAAATCCTCTTATGGCTTTTGTGGTAACTACAGGTATATTGTTTGTCCAATAGCCTAAATGCATAAGAAATGCATAAAAAAATGAAAACATGAAAGTAGTTAACATCCCAAAGCCTATTATATAATTTGAATTCCGGCTCATTTTAAGCTCTTTATTCATTACTGAGGTCAGATACCCCTGGTACAGGGATATAGAGGAGAGCAAAGCAGATTAGCATTACCTACCAAGATAGCAAGAGGCCTTGGCATCAAAACTAATGAAAACTTGCAGCAGAGAATTATTCCTTTTTGCTCTACTTCAGTGTTTTTTACATTTTTTTTTCCACTGTTACTTTTTACATAATTGATGTAAATTGGGTCTAAATGGATTAATGGACTGCAGCATAGTAAAACTGTGTAATTTAAAAGATTTAAGATGTAACATATAACTGCAAAACATAATTAAGGCATAATCCTGAACTTTCATAATGAGTTGAAAAATGATCCTACAGTGCTTGCAAATCCAAGGCTATTTGGATTCATTTAAATACATGGACGTGAATATTGTGGTAAAATACGTTATCAGATTCATTAAAAAGTATGCTTACCTTCGAGGGATTTTAAATATAAAACTTTCTTCATGTTCTATTTAGTTTCTAAGCATAAAATATCGAATATGTTAAATGTATGAAAGAAAAAACTAGGTGCCTCAAACTTTAAATTTCTTTTAGCTCTTCTCTTTTTTTTAAAAAAGTGAAAAAAAAAACTTTTTGGGAAATTAAATCAGTTCTCTACTTAAGGCTTTAGGTATTGAACATCAGAGGTGGGTAGTGGTTAGACATTCAATTAGTTATATTTACCTAAGCATCTAATAAAAAAAAAGAGGTCATTCTGAGAGAAGCTTCAGTGTAATTTTTACATTTATTTATGTAAATTTTGAAACGCCAATGTATTGATTTGAGTTCTACACCTCTGGTTACATCTCTGAAGATAGATGTCTTCACCAAAAATGAAACAATAAAACTCCTAGTTTGTAAACAAGCTTTATTGTTCTGTTTTTTCTATTCACCAAATGTGTTGTACTTAGGGAAGCATGATATTGGATTTTAATCGTCACTAAATATGCTGATATTTTATAATTAACAGGTCGATAACCTATAACGGTATTTTTTTTTATCCTAAGTTCTACAAATATACTCTTTGTAGTTTTATCCCTTCTGTCTTGTGTGTAATTGGCAATAGCAGTATGGCTATTTGTTTCTGAAACTACAAAAAATATCAATACCATCAACATTGACTGTGACAGACTCATGCAAGAGTTGGGTAAATGTGACCCACTGGATCAGGCAAAATCCTCCTGTTTTTCTCACTATAAAAATGCCTGATAAATGAATTAATTATGTTGGTGGAATGGCTGATGTGTAATATTTAGTTTTAAAATGAATATTGACCAGTGAATATATGGTGAACAGCAAATATTTTCAATGAATTTACTTTGTATATTTCTAGTGTGTATAATTTACCTCTAAGTATAGGTTTAAAATTTTTTGTTTTTGAAAACTAAAATATGCCCAGTTTTATTTTTGCATTGATGTGGGTTGTTTATACTTGTGATATATTTATTAATAGTTTTTTTTATTCAGAATTTTATACTGTTGTCAACATAACTACATACTTTTCACAAATTAAAGCAGAATACACAGTTCTACTCAAGTAAGTACTTGAGATGATTTTTTAATCAGACACATTTGATTCATTTCATGATCAACGGCTGTTAACTTCTACTTGAGTAAAAATATTTTGAAGCAGTATTCCTCTTCCCTGAGTGTACAGTAATTGTTGGCAATTTTAGTACACCTTTACTAAAACCACTGCAATACCTATCCTGTACCAGCAGGTGCAGACATGGCAGACATTAATTCAAAATATATTGCAAAAATGATACCAAACACAAAGCACTGCTAGGATTAAAAAAAAAAAATATCTGAGTATTCTTAGAGAATATTTACTATCCCTTCAAATATTAATATCTTAAGAGTACATCTGAAGTTTAATTAAATCAGACTCTGGACAACACGGTGAAAATTCATTCATTTTTAAATAATTGTGCTTATGGCATCAGACTATAAATTTCTAAATAATAATAATATTAATCAGTACAACAGAATTTATGGGGCTCACCATGCTGTTGATTTCTGAATCCTCATAACTTTCTAATGGAGACTTGGGCTCCCCAAGAGGCTCAAGACCTTCTTCATCCCACATATAGGTCCCACCAGAGCTATTGGAGGGTGACAGCTCAACTGATGAACCCTGAGGAGCATCACTCTGCACAGGAGACAGCAACGATTCCTCAATAGATTCCTTCATTGGGGTCTCTTCCTTATTTTCTATGAAAAGAAGACAAACATTGGTTTAACAAATTTTATAAGTGTTACAAATATAAAGAAAGCAAAAATATTTACTTTTTCTTCTTGTACCTGTCAGATCTGTACGTTCCCAGGTAGTATTTTCATTGGGAAAACTCTGCAAGAGGGTTTGAGTAGTGTCGCCAGGCATGTCTCCATCACTGAAAACATCTCCTGCAGAGTCCAAATCATCAAGAAACTCTTCACTGGTGTCAACTCTTTCCAACGATGAGGCAGAAGATAAAGACATATCCTCCATAGTCTCAGTAGCCATCTGGATAGAGCTTTGGTCATGGCCATTTTCTGTTCCATTTCCAGCTCCAGAGCTTCCACCACTCTCACTGGCAGACTCTGCTTTCGCCCTCTCATCAGCTGCTTCAGAAACTTTTGATATCTTCAAAAGTTCACCACAATCTGATGAGACTAATTCTCTAATACCCTCTTTTAGGCCATCTGGGGGAGACCTCTGCTGTTTACCCAGAGTTGTTGCAGCTGATCTGTAGCCTAAAGACCCCACACTGTTGGTCATAGACTTAGTCAGAACGGAACTTGGTAGTAAAGGCTTTCTCAGGCCTCGGGGAGTAGTGGGCACTGCAGGAATAGATGTGACAGGCAGGGAGGGGTCAGTAGGAAGGCTTTTACTGTACTGAAACCCTGCAACTCCAAGGTTATTGCTTAGTCCTAAATACAATCTACCATTGCTGACCCTTGGAGGTTTGAGAAGACTACTACGAGAGGGCCGAAGCTGAGTGTTGGCCAGAGGCTTGGCCAACTCCACTGCTCGATTAAAGGAAAAGGACCGTGCCATTGGCTCACAGGAGGGTGAGGGAATCTGTTTAAAGTGAGTGAAACTGTTTGATCGAACCATGTGATCCAATGTTAAGATCCTATGATTCTCATTGGATTGTGCTAGGCTATCCTGAGAAATGCTCCTGGGAGAGCTGGTGCCTAACATTGGCCGTACAAGTCGTGACTCCGACCCTGCTCGAGCAGGAATCCCTGAAGCACTACAGGCAATTTTAGAAACTCCATTCAGTTGGTTTTGACCAACTTTTGTCACTTTGGGACTTATCTTTGTCAGTTGCTTTGGGACAGATTTGGGGCTGGAGGCAGCCACCATCAAAGAACCAGACCTACGCATCTTAGGGGTTGACGGAGAGCTATTCTTCACCTCTGGCAGTGAGGGCACATGGTTCTGTGCCTTCTCTTCATTTCCCTCCCATGGAATAGTCGCTGCGATATGGTTAGAGGAGCTTATACTTTCATCTTTCTTCCATTTTAGGTAAGGTGGAGAAGGCCGGATTAGACCATTTGTGCGTGTTCCAGGTGAATTGGTCTTGCCATCTTGCACAGATATAGGTGACTGTGTGAAACCATTGCCCAAGGGGCCATTCCCCCCAGCTGAGGGACGTCCTCCAAACTTTGGCAATCTGGAAACCATGGCAGGTCCAGTTAATGCTTTTTCCTCCATTAGATTACGAAAAAGGCATTTATGGACTTAAAAATATGCATATCTGTGAAGAGAATAAAGATAAAAAGAAAAGAATGTTAAAATTGAAACATTTAATTAACAAGATGTTTATCTTATAAAAACAAAAAATTCTTTCAAACCCCCAGCAAATTCAGTATCGGCATCAGTACATATTAGGGATGCAAAACAAATAATTGACTTATGATTAATTGTCAGTTAATTGTTAATTAGATTACAAGTTGTTCCATCCGATTATTTGGTAACATTTGCTCAAAATGAATTTCTTCTTTAGGCAGTTAATACACTTCATACGGCTCAATTTTAACATTCCACTGAGAGCAATCAGAACAGCCTGATCTAAAGCACTGCTGGAAGCACAAACTCTTTCCCTGCACTGAATAGTGAATTACACAAAAAACAAAGAATAATATCACAGATAGTGTCCACCGCACTGAAACAAAGTGCAAAACAGTCTGACAATATGTCAGAGCGACATACCCTGTTTTTGATTAGGGGGGTAAATTGGGAAGAATTTGACTATACATCTCACAACATGTTTTACAATACGATTTAACCCTGATATACACACACAATTAAATTAATTTGATATTTTGTGATTTTTGTAATAACAAAACACTTGAAAACCTCACAAGATCTTGTTGCTCTGGTGTGGCTGATACATAGCAGCTGAATAATAGGACGAATAGCAGTGAGTAGCCAACTAGTGGCTTCGGATTTAAGGGTTTTATAAAAGTAAGACAGTGACATGGATGTTTGCCTATAAATATTTTTTACATTTAAGATCCATTCAGTTTTATTTTTGAATCATTACCAATGTCATCTGTAGATTTGTTTTTAATTTTTCATTCAGTAACCTAATTATAAGATCCTATTGATACAAGTGAAATCTCAATTTTTATGAAAATATTGCTTATAAATTAATCAGGGGTTCAATAAGATCAAGCAACTTTAGATAAATTAATTAATAACTTCCATTTATAATATAGATACTCTAGATATAGTTCGCTTTGATATTCAGAGTCAGAGGCTATAGGCACTGATCCTTTCCAAATCACAGTCTTTTGCTCAGGTTGCTGAAGTTCACAGTTTGGCTGATTTCATTGTGAGAGATAAGGTTACAGTATAACCACACAATAACAAACTGTATTAATATTTAAATACATACTGGTAAAGGAAAGGATGTTACACATACATTACAGGCATTTATATTTTAATTTCAAATGCAACTTATCATACAAGTGCATAGTTGTAAATGCATTCTCATTTGTAAATCCATTATCTTGAGAAAAAAAAAAGTTCAATGAAAAAACATAGCAGCCTAAAACTTTTCATTTTTCAGTTTTCCTTAATAATTAATGCCACCAGAAACCACACTGAATATAATTCTTAACAGTTTTCAAAGCAGACTGAAAAGGAAAGGGCCATTAGGATTATTGGCCATTTTTCAGATCACTTTGTATCAGCTAATGCAGGATCTGAAAAATAATAAATTACATTTCTTTCTGATCATTATTATTTAAGACATGATGAAACCTGTTGTCAGCCCCGATTTTGTGTAGATTTGAAGATAAAAGACCTGGCTTACTAACAAATGAGGGTGAACAGATAGAGAGTCCCTACGAGACAAGAGGATGCTGGGAAGGTGGCCAGGATGCTGTGAACAGCGACTGGAGGATGTGCATTATGTAAAGCCAGTGAAGGGAAAACACAAGGTTGTTTCCTCCCACTCGTTTGGACTAATTCATTTCCAATCAGCCAAGTGACAAGCGTACATGTGTTTGCAGTGCACCTGCATGTTGCATCCATCTGGCCATTTCTGGAATATCATGAATAAAACAGTTGCTTGTTTCTAGGAAGGTGCTTTGGTTAGCAGAAAGTAAGCCCATGGCATGAGTAAGCAAAGTGTGACTACAAGAGTTTTTTGCCCACACCAGAAAATAACCTATTGTTGGTGCATGTCCTCACAGAAGCTGTTAATCCTTTAAGGGTAAATTTTGTTAAAAAATAGCTCAAAAACAACAAAAAACTCAACTTCTCTAGAGATAAATCTGATTTTCTTCTTTAAAAGATGGAGGATGGGTGATGTGTAGAGCAATGTGATCTCGTATTCTAACAAAAAAAAGAGAAAGAAAAACAACTCCCAGTGCCCTACATCTCCACTCAGAGGCACCGATTCTGCAGTCAAAGAGACTCACTCACTCCACCATCCTAATCTTTTTCACGCACACACTAACGGATATAAACACAAAAACACACGTACGCAAACTAAATCAGGTCAACATGCATTGACTGGGTTACCAAAGCCTCTTTGCCCCTAAGGAGGGGTTAGTGACTGGGTTTGTTCTTAATGGGAAGATTGGGGGTTTTCATAATAGTTAGTCTCTCTACAACCTTTCAAGATTCATTCATATCCAGAGTAGCAGAGCACTGTTGCATAGCAGCAAACTGATGCTGTGGTAAACAATCATCTATTATTTTAATCACGCCTTCAGCAGACAAAATAAGAAGAAATACAATATTGCTGATTTATTTACTTACAGTTTATTGTTCATATTCTATCTTTTTAAAAATCAAAAGGCAGCTTCTATTCAGGTTATACTGGAGTTTTACATAATTGATCATCTCTGACGACTGAACAACAACTGAAAAGCAGTTATTGAAAAAGTCTAGCCTTTTTACTTTAGAAATTTGTCGTAATGGTGGGCAAACAATACCTATATATTTAAGGCCAGTCAATACAACATGAACATACACCAAATATTTAATAAACTTTATGGTTTCAAATGTGCTGACACTTCCTGTTATGTTGTTGCACATGTTTAATATCCTTTAGAGATATCAGAGAGAGTGGCTAAGGGACAAATCCTCTCCATCGGCTACATGGTATACAATAGACTAAGGTACTGTTACTCCCACCTCATCTGTTACTTCAGGTTTCTGTCCAGGTGGTAGAAAGAGGAAACCTGCATTTAACCCATAATTTCACAAAGATCCAGTATCAACTACTTATACTTGTTTCACTTAAAAAAATAACAGAATAGACAAGGATCAAATCTCCAACTGTCAATGGACGAGAGGCGGGGTACACCCTCGACAGGTCACCAGTCTATCGCAGGGCAAGAGAGACAAACAGAAAAGAAAAAAAAATTCACACAAATATTACCAACTAAGGAGAATTTAGAGAAGCCAATTAAACTAAAAGTTATGTTTTGGACTTCAGGAGGAAGCCGGAGTACCCAGAGAGAACCCATGCATGCACAGGGAGAACATGCAAACTCCATGCAGAAAGAGTCAGGACCGGGAATCTGAAACTTGCTGCAAGGAAGCAGTGCTATCCACTTCATCATTGTGCAGCCCTTGGCCGATAGCATACTAGTAATTATTTTTATTTTATACGGTTATTTTATATTTTAGAATGTTAGGAAAGGCTTGATCAATTATTATGAAAACAACTGGCACATGTAAAACTAACCAATGAGTTACAGAAACTAAACAGAGGCAGATTATTTCTATCCGCATTAAAATATGGGAAATTTTAGGTCATTTTAGTTTTTGGCCAATAACGGACTGATATTCATTTCTAATATCCGATAAGGAACTTTTTGCTTAAATTGTTACAAAGTCCGAAAAAAATACAAATACATTTTATAGATCAAGTTGTTATAACTGTAACAATCAGTATGTTTTTTGTCATCAATAGGAAGGATTGTTGTCTTTCAGCTACAAAAATAAGAGCAAGCACATCATGACAGATATATTTGTCTTTCAAAGGCTTGTGAATATAACACCAGGAAACTGCTATTTCTATGTAACATACCAAATAATCTCACTCTAAACACAATATTCTTTAACTTGCCATCTACAGAGTAAATAAACAATAACTAAAAGCTGCATTTTAACCAAGTAAGCTTAACTCGGCCTTAGGTAAAACTTCACCACCTATATTATTTGTCGTAAAATTTACCAACATGACACAAAGAAGACTGTTAATGTTAACAAATAATACAATAAAAAAGATCCTAAGTGTAAGAAATGTATTCAGGGGTAAAGAGGTAAACACCACAGGCCATCTGTTTTTACATATGGCATTTGCATTTACAGATACACCCCTCCCCCTAAATAAAAACACGATCCTTGAGATTTACTAAAACTAAATATGCTACCTAATAAAACCCATGTTTACAACACAATGTCATTAATGCTAGGGATAAAAAAAACACCAAAAAAAAAAAAAAACACTGCCATGATTGTAAGGTTTGTCTGTTTGATGAAAACATTATTACAAGAAAAGCACATTAGGTCAGACTGCTAGAATATTCAGGATGAATTTATTTTACTCTATATTTGCACAGATCATCAGAACTAATGCAGGGTTAGAAGGAAAAAAAAATCTTGAGGGATATGGATTAATCCTTTCTAAAAAAGCATATCACAGAAAAATAAAAATTATATATATAAAAAAAAGTGAAAACAATAGTGGGAAATGAACAGCTAAATGATGAGAAGGAATACCTCCAATGGAAAAAGTATGTCAGTGAAAAAGTTACCAGATTAACGGCAACAATGACACACTTCTGACTTAAAGAAACCAAAAGTTGTAACTGTAAGAGGTAATGAAAAGTGGAGGAAAATAGAGGAATGGACAAAAAAAAAAGATAAAATAGATGGATGAAGAAAAGCAGATACAAGACTCTGGACAGTCTTTTTCGTCAGAGAAAGGTTTCAACCCCTGAAGCTCAGCATATCACCAGCGAGCACACTTCATGAAATGAACCATAAAGTGAGATTACATCTTTTTTTTACTCAGTGGTATAAAGTACATGGGAATAGAGCTCTATTTTTATCTGACTGAACATGTTTCAGCTCTACCTCATACTAAAGGGGGAGAAAACCTGACTCTCTGACCTATATAAATATAGTTGTGTGTTTTCCTTTACAAAAAAGCTTCTGCAATTGATCTGCAAATGCTCATCAACTATGGGAGCTCAGGAGTAATGCAAATGGGACTCAAAACCCTGAGGG